TGTCAACATCCCAAGTGTCAGGATCCCATTTCTTCCCAATCATGCCCTTGTTTTAACTTCCAACACCATTTGAGGTTGGGAACTCAATTGGTGGTGTATTTTGGCAGACTTTCTGGGTTTGGTTTTTGGCAATAGCAGCTCTGTTACTGCAAAAAATAAGGCATTCTTTCACAACACAACTAACAACTTTCAGCTCTGTTTTGTGTTCCTTGAGCTGTGACTGAAGCCCCAACATCATCTCTCTCTTTCACCACTTTGTCTAGTTAGTATAGTAGGACGAACCTGCAGGCAACCCTACACTTTTGCTCCTGACAAAATGGCAGAAAAGTAGGAAACATGTGATCACCCATAGCCTCATTTCTTACCAACACTTGGTCTGTTGGTGGTGATATTTTGCATATTAACATTGTCCTTTACATCATTGATTGGCAGCACCATCTTTACTAATGGAGGCAGAGTCATCAGCACCCTTAAGATTAGTCAGACTTCACTGTGGGCTCAGGACCATGATCCCAGGGGACATCAACTTCAATTGGTATAGCATACTACACAAAAACATTGTTCCACATTCTACTTTGGTGAGTAGCGACTGGAATCTTAAAAGCTTGCAAGCGGCCATCTACATGCAATGATTTGTTTCTCCTCGTCCAGAACAAAGAAGGAGGAAACCAAAGACTCATGGAAACAATTAGTCCAAGGGACTGGTAGACCATGTGATCCTCAGCCTGTATGACCAGGAGACCAGAAGAATTAGATGGTGCACAGCTACCACTGTCAACCACTCAGAGGGGGATCTGTGTAGGAGATTCTGGATAGAGTGGGAGTACAGTGTGGAAGAAAAGTCAAAATTACAAAAAAAAAAAAAAGACCAGGATTGCTGGTCTGATGGAGCCTGGTGAAACTCCTGAGACTATGGCCCCTTGCTGCCCTTCAGGTCTATAATTGAACTCCTGTGGCTTCCAACCAAATAAAAGACTGGCATATGGACTGAACCTTTACACTAGGTAGATACACTCCTTGGAGAGATCAATCATGGGAGAACAGAAGGGCAGTGTATGCACAGGGAGCTTGCTTGGGGGGCAGGAGTGCATGGGCAGGAAGGACACAGGAAAGAGGTAACTATGGGGAGGAAGTGGGAAGAGAGCTACTACATTGTGGGAAATTGCAGTCAATGTCATGAGACAAAATGTGTATGAACTGCTGAATGGAAAATGAAATTGCTCTGTAAACTTTCACCCAAATGACAAAAAAAAAAAAAAAAAAGACTAGTCAGACTTGAGAACCAATTTGGAAAACTCATCTGTGTTAGACTGGGTTCTCTAGAGAAACAAAACCAGTAATGCTTATATATATATATAAAGAGGAGCTCTGGTAGCATAGTGGCTAAGGCACTTGACTGCTAACCGGAAGGCTGGCGGTTCAAACCCACCAGCCACTCCTCGGAAGGAAGGTTGGGCATTCCTACTTCCGTAGTGATACTGCCTCGGAAACCCAAGGAGGGGTCGCTATGAGTCGGGGCTGACTCGATGGCAAACAACAACAACAACAACAACATATATATAAAGAGAGAGAGAGAGATTGATTGATTGAGAGATTTATCTTAGGAAAATGGTTCACACACTTATAGAAGCTGGCAAGTGCAAAGTTCTTGAATCAAACGTCAAGCTGGAGGCTTTTTCCGACTCTTGCAGCTGCAGGGGCTGAGGAACTCAAGGTTGGCAGGCAGCGTACTGGCTATTGACTCCAACGAATGACGAATCCAAGATCTCCAGGCCGAATGGTGAATCATTCACTCATGCACAGTTGTAGGCAGCACAACAGAATCCCGATCCACAGAAGAATGCCTCTTGTCCCAGGATGTCCATAGATATACTGGAAGCAGGCCACACCCCTAGGGAAACTCCCTTTCAACAGATTGGCTGCTCAAAACATAATCATCTGATCCCATCATGGAAATAACCACATCACAACAGCTTAAACCACACAGAATTGTGGTCCAGCCAAGTTGACACGCAGCTCTAGATAGTACACCAGATAGTACAGTAATGCCCTTCTTTGTTGATCCAGAGGCATGAGGAAGCCAAAATGGCTGGGTGGCATTCTTAATTTCCAGTTCAATGCAATCAGTATTGTGTCTCTAGGTGGAAGTGTTCCTTTCTTTGGACTAAGATCTCTAGACCCGCAGAGCATAGAGTAGAGGGACAGGAAGCAAAATTTTTTTGAGTGGGTCACTAGGGGTAATAGTGAGTGGTACCACTCCTGTTTCCACCCCTTGGTTCCTGGACCTGTGAATCCTGGCTGTTGGAGAAACAGAACCATATATTGGATGCTGGTTTAGAGCATATATATACAGCCTCCTGGAGAACATTGCCTCAACCCTTCAAGGTATTGCCACCTAGCTGGTGCCATAATTGTGTTTTCAGGCCATTCCATCATTCTATCAAGCCAGCTGCTTCAGGATGATGGGGAACATGGTAAGAACAGTTAATTCCATGATCATAAGCCCATTGCCGCACTTCATTTGCTGTGAAGTGAGTCCCTTGATCCGAAGCAATGCTGTGTGGGATACTATGACAGAGGATAAGGCATTCTGTAAGTCCATGGATGGTGGTTTTGGCAGAAGCATTGCGTGCAGGGAAGGCAAATCCATATCCAGAATTAGTGTCTACTCTGGTAAGAACAAAATGCTGTCCTTTCCATGATGGAAGTGGTCCAATGTAATCAACCTGCCACCAGGTTGCTGGCTGATCACCCCGAGGAATGGTTCCATATCGTGGACTCAGTGTTGGTCTCTGCTGCTGGCTGAGGAGCTCAAGGTTGTCAGGCAGTGTACTGGCTTTTGACTTCAACGAATGACAAATCCAAGATCTCCAGGCCGAATGGTGAATTGTTTGCTCACGGACAGTTGTAAGCGCACAACAGAATCCTGATCCACAGAAGAATGTCTCTTTTCCCAGGATGTCCATAGATACACTGGAAGCAGGCCACACCCCTAGGGAAACTCCCTTCAACAGATTGGCTGCTCTAAACATAATCATCTGATCCCAACATGGGAATAACCACATCACAACAGCTTAAACCACACAGAATTGTGGTCCAGCCAAGTTGACACACAGCTCCAACTATCACATCATCCTTATGATTTTGTTTGGTAACAAGAGTGATTCTAGAGAAACAAAATTATATCAAATGTCTTAGGCTGGGTTCTCTTGTTGTTAGGTGCCATTGAGTTGGCTCCAACTCATAGCAATCCTATGTACAACAGAATGAGATAATTTCTGGTCCTGTGGCAGTCTCACAATCCTTGATACACCTGAGCTCATCATTGTAGGCACTATGTCAGTCCCTGTCGTTGAGGGCCTTCACCTTTCTCATTGACCCTCCACTTTACTAAGCATGATATCCTTCTGACAACATGCCAAAGTAGGTGAGATGAAGTCTGGCCTTTCTCGCTTCCAAGAAGAATTATGGCTGGACTTGTTCCAGGACAGATTTGTTAGTTCTTCTGGCAGTCCATGGTACTTTCAGTATTTTTCACTAGCACCACAACTCAAAAGCATCAACTCTTCTTTGGTCTTCCTTGTCCACCTTTCACATGCATATGAGGCAATTGGAAATACCATAGCCTGGGTTAGGCATGTCTTAGTCTTCAAAGAGATATCTTTGCTTTTCAGCACTTGAAGGAGGTCTTTTGCAACAGAATTGCCCAAGTCTTTTGATGTCTTGGCTGCTGATTCATTGGTGTTGATTTTGGAGGCAAGTAATATGAAATCTTTGACAACTTCAGTCTTTTCTGTTTATTGTGATGCTGCTTATTTGTCCAGTTGTGAGGATTTTCATTTTCTTTATGTTCAGATGCAATCCATACTGCAGACTGTAGTCTTTAATCTTTACCAGTAAGTGCTTCAAGTCATCCTCAGTTTCAGCAAGCAAAGTTGTGTTGTCTGCATTCCACAGGTTGTTAATGAGCCTTCCTCCAATCCTGAGGCTTCAATTCTTCTTCATTTAGTCCAGCTTCTTGGATTATTTGCTGAGCATACAGATTGAATAAGTATGGTGAATGGATACAACCCTGACACACTCCCTTCCTAATTTTAAACTATGCAGTATCCCCTTGCTCTGTTCAAATGACAGCCTCCTGGTCAATGTATAGGTTCCTTTAGAGAAGCAAAATCGGTGAAGATTATATGTGTATGTGTATAAAATAGCAAGATTTATCACAAGGAAATGGCTCATGAGGTTATAGAGACTGACAAGTACTAAGTCTGTGGGTCAGGCTTCATGCTGGAAGCTTCTCCTGACATATGCAGCTGCAGGGGCTGACTAACCCAGAACTGGCAGGTCAGATGGCAGGCAGGTGCTAACTGTGGGGGCTGATGAATCCAAGATCAGCAGGTAAGATGGCAGGCCATTGGCTCAAGTCCATAGAACTGGAGGTCAGGTGATAATGAACTGGATGTAGAATTCAGATTGTGCAAAAAGCCAGAGATTTTTTCCATAATGTCCATACAGATTGGCTGCAGGTCACACCCCTAAGAAAACGCTCTTTTAACTGATTAGTTGCTCACAGCAGATCTCATCATGGAGGTGATTACATCATATAAGATCTTATCACGGGGGATGACTATGTCATACCTGCCAAACCACTGAGAATAATGGCCCAGTCAAGTTGACACACAACCTTAATCATATAGGATAGAGACAAACTGCTCCATAGGGTTTCCAAGGCTGTAAATCTTTACAGGAGCAGACTGCCATATTTTTCTCCCAAGGAGTGGCTGGTGAGTTTGCACTACTGAGTTTTTGGTTAGCAGCCAAGTCCTTTAATTGCTCTGCCAGCAGGGCTTCCGGCCTTAATTGGTATTAAAAATACAGAGGCAGGTTAGGTTTTTGGGAGGAGAAAAATATATTACATCTTGAAGTTAATGAATATGCTTCTTGGATTGAGAGCTTTTATTGTCCTATTCTCAACCACTTATAATAACTTCTGTCTTTTCTAGGAAGATGCCCAGGATATGGATGCCTACACCCTGGCCAAGTCCTACTTTGATGTTAAAGAATATGATCGAGCAGCTCATTTCCTACATGGCTGCAATAGCAACAAGGCTTATTTCCTGTACATGTATTCCAGATACCTGGTGAGGTCCATTTTAAGATTTCACTCTGCCTTTAGTGAATCATCCATATTTAGAACCAAATGGAAAAAGTTTAATCTTTTAAGTAGCTCAGCAATGGACCAGTTAGTGAATTTACTTAACAGTAATTAAAAAAATAACAAAATATTGAAAAATGACAATATAGAAAAAATATTAAAAGATTGATAATACCTATTGATAACAATGTGGGTCATTAAAACTTTTTTAGGAGTAAGTTTGTATGGCCTTTTTAGAAGCCAGTTGTAGTCCATTATGTTAATTTAAATGTTATAAACAAACAATTCTACTCTCAGTATCCTGTCCAATAGAAAGGCTTACAACATTGCATAAGGTTGTGTGTACAAGGCTGTTATTGGAGCATTTTAGGTAATTTTTGTTGTTGTTGTTATTTGCCATCGAGTAGGCCCTGACTCATAGCGACCCCTCCTTGGGTTTCCGAGGCAGTATCACTACGGAAGTAGGAATGCCCAACCTTCCTTCCGAG